CTACTGTAAAAGTCACAAAAATGCAATAAAAAAAAAGTTTAAAAAAGCATCCACACAAAGTCCATACAAAAAACAGAGGACAAAAGTAGGCGGGGAAAAGGGCGATAAACCACAAATTCAGGATTATGTTACAACATTAACAATTAATTAAATGCATACATTTGTTCGACAAAATTGTAAGAAAAAGGTAAAAAAAATCGAAAAATTTAAGAATGAATAAATCGAAAAAACAAAAATTAAGAAATTCGAAAAACTGAATAACAGAAATATCGAAGAAGAGAAAAATCAAAAAATCCAAAAATCGAAAATTCGGCAGTTTAAAAAACTGGGAATTTGAAAAATTGAAGAATGGAAAAATTGAAAAATCTAGAAACAGAATAATTTAAAAATCGAAAAATTGTAGAATCGAAAAATTTAAAAACCCTAAATCGAAAAAAACACGGAAACATCGGAAAATTGACACACAGAAAAATGAGAAAATCGAGAAATAGAAAATTTGAAGAATTGAGAGATTGGAGAATCAAAAAATTGAAAAATCCAACAGTGAAATATGGAAAAATTGAGCAATCGAAAAATTGAACAATAAAAAAACTGAAAAATCCCACAACTGAAGTTTCGAAAAATTGAGAAATCGAAAGCTGAAAAATCAAGAAATCTAAAATTCTTAAAAATAAAAAACCGAAAATTTGTTAGATTTTCATTTTTTTTTTTCAAAAATCTTGATGTTTAGGACAAAAATTCAAGACGGATTCATAAACCACAAATTCAGGACTATGTTACTTTTTAACATTTAAATACATAACACTTATTCGACAAAATTGTTCGAAAAATTGAAAAATTAAAAACAAAAATTATAAAATTCGAAAAACTGAAATAGCAAAACAGAAAATCCAGAAATCGAGAAATCGAAAAATTGAAGAATAAATAACCCGAAAAAACAAAGATGAAAAAATTCGAAAAACCGTATAATAGAAATATCGAAGAAGAGAAAAATCAAAAAATCCAGAAACCGAAAATTCGAAAATTTAAAAAACTGGAAATTCGAAAAATTGAAGAATGGAAAAATTGAAAAATCTAGAAATCAAATAATTGAAAAATCGAAAAAATCAAATTTAAATAATTAATCGAAAAATCGAAACATCAAAAATCCCAAAATTGAAAAATTCACACAATTGAAATATTGAAAGATCGAGAAATCAAAAAATCGAAAAACTTTAAAAATGGAAAATCCGAAATGTGGAGAAATCTAATAAAAAAATCGAAAAATTTTAAAAATCGAAAATCCGAAATGTGGAGAAATCTAATCAAAAAATCGTAGAATCGAAAAAGCAGGAAAGCAAGAAATCGAAAAATCCATAAATTGAAGGGTAAAATATTGCAAAATCCGAAAACTAAAATACCTATCGAAAATTTGAGAAATAGAAAGCTGAAAAATCGAAAAATCTAAAATTCGAAAAAATAAAAAACCGAAAAATTTTTGAAGATTTATAATTTTTTTTTTTCAAAAATCTTGATGTCTAGGACAAAAATTCAAGACGGCTTCATAAACCACAAATTCAAGGCAATGTCGTTTTTTGACATTTAAATACATAACACTTATTCGACAAAATTGTACGAAAAATATGTAAAACGACGAAAAATTGAAAAATCAATAAACCGACAAAACAAAAATTATAAAATTCGAAAAACCGAAAAACCAAAAAATCCAGAAATCTAGAAATCGAGAAATCGAAAAATAGTGAAATGGAGAATTCGAAAATTTTAAAATTTAAAAAACTGGGGAATTAAAATATCGAAAAATTGAAGAATCGAAAAATTGAAAAATCGAGAGATCGAATAATTAAAAAATCGAAAAATTGAATATCTAAAATTTAGAAAGTGAAAAATCTAAAAGCCGAAAAATCGAAATATATAAATCTAGAAATTGAAAAATAAAATATTGAAAAATTCAAAAACTGAAATATCAAAAAACTGAAAAATTGAAACTCAAAAATTTGAAAAATTCGAAGTCGAAAAACCGAAAAATTGAAAAATCAAAAAGCCGAAAACTCGAAAATTGAAATACCGTGACATCAAAAAATTCAAATTTTGAAAACCTGAAATATCGAAACATGAAAATATAGAAAAAAATAAAACATTCCCAAAATTGAAATCTTGAAAATTGAGAAATCGAAAAACCGTGCTGTTAAGAAAACGAATCAAAAAAATTTTAAAATGACAAAATTGAAAAATTGAAAAATCGAAAAAGCAAATAACCGAGAAATCGAAAAATTGAAGAATAAATAAACTGAAAAAACAAAAATTAAAAAATTCGAAAAACTGAGTAACAGAAATATCAAAGAAGAGAAAAATCAAAAAGTCCAGAAATCGAAATACGAAAATTCGAAAATTTAAAAAACTGGAAAAATTCCAAAAATTGAAGAATGGAAAAATTGAAAAATCTAGAAATCGAATAACTGAAAAATCGGAGAATCAAATTTAAATAATCGAAAAATCAAAACATCGAAAAATTGAATAATCTAAAATCCAAGATGTGGAGAAATTTAATAAAAAAATCGTAAAATCAAAAAAGATTGAAAAATCCCAAAACTAAAATATCGAAAAATTGAGAAATCAAAAGTCGAAAAATTGAAGTCGAAAAATCGAATTCGTCAAATGGAAAATTTCAAAAATCGAAAAGCTGAAAAATTAAAAAACTGAAAAATCGAGAATTCGATTTTTCGACTTCAATTTTTCGACTTTTGATTTCTCAATTTTGACTTTTTTTTCTCAAAACTAGAAATATCTAGATCATCGTCTTAAGGTACATCCAAAATTCCACAACTATCAATGAAACAATCCTGTGTTTAATGTAATTAGCGAGCCGGCGGACAGACAAACGGAAACAGAACGTCGGAAAAATAATCAAAATTACACAATAGTTGTGACTGAAATACAAAATATTCAAAAAATCCAGACCTTGATGAAATGCATTTCAACTGCAAATCCCATGCAAATTTGAAAATTTTAAAAACTGATTCAATAAACAAAACATAATTATCCCGACGAGCGAAAACTGCTTTGGCAAAAATTTCCAACAACAATGCATTAATTCAACATCAGTACGGAACGGAATTTCGTGAATAGAATATTTTTGATGTACACCAGTTTTATTTATATGAAAAAAAAATCCGACTTTATTTAATTTATTTAATTAAATTATTTTAGCCCCGGACGTCACTGCAATGAATGAATATTTGCTGCTGGGCCAACAAACATCTGCCATCTAAAATTTATAATGCTTTTAAATACCGTAATTCCTCAAAGTGAACAAGTTGCTTTCTTGCTTATCGCTTCGTTTCAAATACAATTAAAGCTTAATCTTCTCCCTTCTCAAACGAGGTGTACCTACGGGAGATAGCAAAACGTTAAATCCGACGTAATAAATTAATTTATTATTATTTTTTTTTAATAATCAAATTTTATGAAAGGCGAAATTAGCTGCTGCATTTATAAAAATTGAAGATTAGTTCGACAGAACTTCCCTCGCCCATAAAGTAAATTACATCAAATCCGGTTCTTGATTAAAAGGTTTAAATGGCCTCTCAGCAATAATAAAACAAGTTGAAGTGTTTATGTAAAAAAAACACGTAGAAATTAGTTCGATTTGTTCTCAATATTATTATTACAAATACTCTTATTTGATAATAATAAATGCACGACCGGGGAAGGACGAATATCCACTTGTAGGTAATAGCGTTTCTTCGATTTCCGTAAAACAAACTCGAAATCCCACCATTACCCATTCACCGTCGCGATCTACCTTAAATATTTATACCCTATTTACGATGTCGTAAGTAAACGGCAAACGCACGAAAAGTCGAGAATAAAACTTCCTCCGTAAAACAAACAATCGCTTCTTACAACAAACACAAACGTTTCCGGTTATCTCCCCGACCATGAGCAAGAGTCGCGCCATAACTCTTTCGCGATTCATCTCGCATTAATTTTTTAAGTTACGTAAAACAGCCAAGACGTACCGGAACCGCTACGTCAAGAACGCGAACGAATTTGCTGCATCTGCAAACTTTCCAATTTTGTTTATGACGTTGGAGAGCGGAGCTCTAATATGAATATCGAAGGAAGTGCCAGAATAAAACTCACATGATTTATAATATTATATTAAATCCTGGACAAGTCCTCTGTCACGTCTGTCACTCGCAGAAAAGCACCATTCCACGTTCTACCTGCACTCGACGGATTCGCGCCGACAAAATGATTTGTTAATGAAAATATTTTATCTCTGTTGTCACGAATTATTATTATCGGTTTAAAAGTATGCGAGTTAAGTATTAGAGGTATTATCAGTTCGCTGATAATTAGATTACCCTTTGTTAGCACTTTGCCAGTTTACTCACTCGTTGCGACACGAGCAAATCAATTTCGCTGCTATTAGAGTCAATCCAATACACGTCAGATCGATCACGAAAGTGGTGAGGGTCACTGATTTTCCTACGAATTAGATAGGAGATTAGGATTTGGAATATCAGAGGCTGGGAAATTCGGGCACCGCAGAAAAATTAAAATTGGGGTAAAAGGTCGAAATCGGTCGGCAATGCGGTAATAAAATATAAAAATGGAGCCTCGACTTGATCACAGTGTAAATAAAAAGTTTTCATTTGTTGTATTGTGTAACTTTTTTTAGATATTGTCATCAATTTTTTAGAGATAAACAAATACAACGTTGTTTTGCAATCGCTTAAGTGCCTATTAAAAATTTAAAAATCTTAAACAATTATAAGATTCGATAATGCAAATCTTATTTTTTTGATATCCCTGTATGTTAAATTTACTCATGAGGGGATCGAACCCGCCCACTTCGCATTATTACCACTACTCTTCTCGTGCATTAGTATAAAATGACTACAATTTTGATTTTGTGCGGAAATCTAAAATTAAGGCGGATTCATAGACCATAAGTACAGAAGTGTGTTGTTTCGTAAAATTTAAACAATATTTACCATGCAAAATTTTGAGATGACCTAACCAAATTGTTGATTGGGATGATCAGACACATTTTCGTTAGCGTTTTGCCAGCTACACGATATTTCTAAAACAAAAATGATCAGGTCAATTCAGGTCAGGTCACGAAAGAAAAAAAAAATTAGAAAAGGTTAAAAAAAAACGACAAACCATAAAAAAAGAATAACAATTTTTTGATATTTTTAGAGACCCACATTTTTTTAACGTTTTCCTTGTCACCTTCTCAATATTTTTCACGTTTGACACAATTAAAAACTAAAATTTGCGACATTTTGAAGCTTTTTCGGATTATTTGCTGTTTGATCTTTGATATTTTGATTTCTATATTTTCCACACCTGCCACCTTTCGGATTCTTCTCACGTTATTGTATGTCTGACATTTTTGATATTTTGACTTTTTCAGTTTGAAGTTTCCGATATTTTCAAATTTTGAAGCTCCCCACTTGTTTAATGCGTCTGATATGTTTGACATTCTTGATGTTATTAGCGTTCTTGACATTATTTATTTTTTCACTCTTCTCGTTTTTAGTTTTTTAACACCTGCTACTTTTTGACTTTTCTCGCGTTATTTTGTGTTTGACAGAATTTTTGTTTTTGACGTTTTCAAAGTTTTTGACACTTGATTTTTTTATTCTTGACACTCTTGACTTCCTTGGCATATTTTTAGCTCATTGTAAAAAAATCCGAGATTTTCAACATTTTAAACTTTTTGCGGATTGTTTGCTGTTTGATTTTTCGATATCTGCATTTCTATATTTTCACATATGTCACGTTTTTGACTCTTCACACGTTATTTAATGTCTGGCACTTTTGACATTTTGACTTTTTGTCAGTACGGACTTTTCCACGTGCTTAATGTTTCTGATATTTCTGATGCTTCAGTTCTTCCGTATTTTTGTCACTTTTCATTTTTTTATTTTCGCAAAAATCGGGATTCCTAGGGTGAAAACTGAAGGTGGATTCATAAACCACAGGTACAAGAGTATGTCATATTATAAAATATAAAAAATATCTACCATGCAAAATTTTGAGATGCCGTTATCAAATTTTGTTGGGGAAGATTAGACAAATTTGGATTACAGTCGTTCCACTTGAATAAGAAAATTTGATTTGACCTGACTTGATCTGATCTGACATAGCATGACTTGACCTAACCTCAAAGTTAGAAACTACATATACAGAGAATCAGCATAATTATTTATTAATTTTAATATTATTACAAATTTAAATTTAAAATTCTACGAGAAGATTCACTTAAAAAAAATACGAAAAATATGGAAAACAAATCAAACGAAGCGTCACTGTTTTAATTCTGTACATATAGTATGATCTAGCTCCAAAATAGGCGATTCAAAAAGAGAAAAAAAAAACAATAAAAAAGGCAAGAAAAACACGACGAAAAAAGTCCACACAAAAAAGGTGACCACAAAAAGTGACAAAAACATCAAAAAGTAGGTACAAAAAGCAACAAATCACAAAAAAAAAATAAAATAAAAGGCAAGAAACAAAATGGTCACAAAAAATAGGGACAAAAAGTCCACAAAAAAGATTTTAAAAAACGAATGATAAAAGAAATCAAAAGAAAGGCGACTGGAAAAAGTAACCAAAAAATGATAGAAAATGAACAAGAACAAGAAACGCAAAAAAGCAAGTTAGAAAAAAACAATAAAGAACGGCTACAAAAAGCAAGAAAAAATTCTCAAAAAAAAATAAAACGGTTAAAAATTCCAACAAAGGCAAGAAACATAAAGTACATAGAGCAACCGAAATAAAGAAATCAAAAAAGACGTCAAATAAAGGTCAGCAAAAATACAAAAAAGCAAAGAATCAAAAAAGAAGATATAAGAAATCCACAAAAGAAGCTATTAAAAAACTACAAAAACAGAGGAGAATTTTCTATTTTTTTTATGTAATGTAATGTAATGTTAATTAACGATTAAAATCCTACTTTTATTTTTAGATTTCTCGATTTTTCGACTTTACAGTTTTCTGTTTTTGGAATTTTCTTTTTTTCGATATTTCGACCATTGCATTGATCGAAATTTCGATTTTTCTATATTTCGATTCTTAGAATTGTCGATTTTTGGGTTTTTCGATTCTCGCTTTTCTCGATTATCGAATTTTCGGCTTTCCTATTTTTCGAATTTTTGTTTTTTCGAATATTTGATTAATCGAATTTTCGATATTCGAGTTTTCAATTTGTTTCAAACTGTCAAATATTTCCATGTTTCAGTGTTTCGAATTTTTAGTATTTGGATTTTAAACTTTTTTACTTTTCGATTTCTCTATTTTTCGACTAAGATTTTTCGTTTTTAGAATTTTCGATTTTTCGAATATTTGATGAATCCATTTTTCGATTTTTCGACTTTCCGTTTTTCGACTTTTTTTCGATATTTCAAATTTTCGAATTTTCAGTTTTTGTTGGATTTTCGATTTTTTCGAATATTTGATTAATTGAATTTTCGATTTTTCGATCTTTCGAATTTTCGATTTTTCTACATATGTATACACATCGATTCCTAGATTTTTCGATTGTCGGTTTTCTTCGTCAGTTTCTAAATTTTCTTTGTTTGGTTTTTTGATTTTTCGAATTTTAGTTTTTCCAATACTTGATTCATCGAATATGCGATTTTTTAATTTGTTTTCTTTGATTTGTCGATTTATCAATTTTTTAATTCTTGAAATTTTCGTATTTTCGACTTTTGATTTTTTGCGTTTTGACTTCTTAATTTCTCGAGTTTTCGATTTTTCAAATTTTAGAATTTTCGATATTTCAAATATTTGATTCACTGAACATTCGATTTTTCGACTTTCAGTTTTTTGATTTTCTATTTTTCGATATTTCAAATTTTCGAATTTTCAATTTTCTGATTTTCGATTTTTCCAATATTTGATTCATCGAATTCTCGATTGTTTCGATATTTTGAATTTTGAATTTTTCTGTATTTCGATTCTTAGATTTTTCTACTTACGAATTTTCGCTTTTCCGGTTTTTCAATTTTTCAATTCTTCCATTTTTCCGACTGTCGATATTTCGAATTTTCGATTTTTCTACATATATTTCGATTACTAGATTTTTCGATTTTTCGGTTTTCTTTGTCCATTTTTTAATTTTTCTTTTTTTGGTTTTCTGATTTTTCTAATTTTAGTGTTTCCAATACTTGATTCATCGAATATTCGATTTTTCAACTTGTTTCCGTCGATTTCTCGATTTTTCAATTTTTTAATTCTTCGAATTTTCCCATTTTCGATTTATGCATTCTTCAGTTTTTAGGTTTTTCAATTGTTGTCTGGAATTTTCATCTTTTCCGTTTTCAGCTTTTCGATTTTTCAATCTTTTGCTTTTTAACTTCTTAATTTCTCGAGTTTCCGATTTTTGAAATTTTAGAATTTCCAATATTTCGAATATTTGATACATTGATTTTTCGACTTTCTATTTTTTGATATTTTGAGTTTTGAATTTGTCTGTATTTTGATTCTTAGATTTTTCAATTTTCGAATTTTCTATTTGTTCCTTTTTCGATTTCTCGATTTTTCAATTTTTCGAATCTTCGATTTTTCAATTTTTACATTCTTCAGTTTTGAGACTTCAAGTATTTTACGTTTCGATTTATAATATTTTCAATTTCTCCAATTTTCAGTTTTGTTAATTTCCCGACTTTTCACTTTTACGGTATTAGAATTTTCACTCCATTTAATTTTCGGTAATTCAATTTTCGATTTTTTGACTTTCGGGAAGTTTTCTATTTTTTCGATTTTCAAGCTTTCCATTTATCTATATTTCGATTTTTCCATTTTTTGATTTATCGATTTTCGATTTTCCGGAGTTGTAATTTACGCTACTGGTTTTTACTTTACTAAGATTAAAAACAAAAATCGCAAAATCAAATTTTATTATTTTTCAAAAAATCGGCATGGACTTTACCTCAAGGACGAACGAAGTTCTATCGAAATAACCTTCCACATTTTTTTTCCAAATCGACCTATGTATATTCAAATCATTTCAAAAACTACAAGTCACACAACTCAAAAAAATTATAAAAAAAGGCATTTACAAAGTGAGAAAAGAAGACCATAACAAAAAGGACTAGAAAAACGCAAAAAATACACAAAACAATGCGTGACTATGAAAAAAGTGACAAAAAACACCAAAAAAAAACTACAAAAGCAACAAGTCACAAAAAAGTTGATTTTGACAAATGACATGTTCTTTAAGAAAATAGAGGGTGGGTGGGCGGGGCAAGTATTTGATAAGTTAAGACTGACTTTGGCATTTTTGACATTTTCAACCATTTTTCAAATATATCGTCAAAATAACTACCTATAAAAATTTTGTAGATAAAAAAAGGAAATTATTGTTAATTTTTATTCCATTATTACATTATTAGTTTTCACTCTCACTCGACAGAACATAATAGCTCCGTCCACCCACCCTGTCTCCTTTTCAGTGATTGATTTTATCCGAACTAAATGAAAAGAAGGATCTTACACTGAACAGAAACAGAATTAGTAGTTAGAATGAGAAGAGGGTGGGTGGGCGGTGCTAGTACTTGCTAAGATAAGACTGATTTTGGCAAATGACATACCTTCCAAGAAAATAGAGGGCGGGTGGGCGGGGCTAGTACTTGCTAAGATAATAATGATTTTGGCAAATGACATATTTTCCAAGAAACTGAAGGGTGGGTGGGTGGGCAGATACTTGCTAAGATAAAACTGATTTTTTTTTTTTTATTTTCACAGCCTAGATTCTATAGTTAGTTTTCATTCCCACTCAACAGAAGAACATAAAATATATAAAAAATCGAGATATCGAGAAGTCAAAAAATCGAGAACTTAAAATATTTGAAGATTACAAAATGAAAAACACCAAAAATCGAAAGGTCGGAGAATCTAAAGTTGAAAAATCGGAAAGTCGCTAAATCGAAATAACGAAAAATCGAATTTATCGAAAAATCGAGAAATCAAAATTTGGAAAGTAGTAAAATAGAATGGAAAAAGTTGGAGAATCGAAAAACTGAGAAATTGAAGTTGAAAAATCCAGAAATCGAAAAGTCGAACAGTTCAAAA